GAGCAGGGAGCCCGATGTGGGGCTCGATCCCAGGACCCTGGGATCATGACCCGAGCTTAAGGCAGACTCTTAACGACTGAGCCACCCAGGTGCCCCGGTGCTGTAAATATTTTATATCCTGATTCATGTTATGATTAGCTGAGTGTATGCATAATTAAAAGTTCACTACACTGTACACTTAGGATTTGTGGACTTTACCATACGCATGTTACACCCCAATTTAAAAAAAATTTCTATTGGATTTAGTAAACTATAATAAATGAGTAACACTAAAAAATTATTTCCAGACACATTAAGAAACAGGACCAAGAGAAAAAAACAGACAATAGAAACAAGACCTATAAAAGTCAGGGGTTGGCAAACTTTTTCTACAAAGGACCAGACAGTAACTATTTTAGGTTTTGAAGGCTACATACAGTCTCTGTTACATATTCTTCTATTTCTAAAAAACCTTTTAAAAATGTAGAAACTATTTTTAGCTTGTGGCATATATGAAAACAAGCTTTAGGTTGGATTTGGCCCATAGAACATAGTTTGCTAACCTCTACTACAGGTAATTCAGATTTCAGACTAATCAAGTAAAGATGTTAAAGAATTGCCATTAACATTTTCAAGATGTTATAAGACAAGTGAGAGATTTCACAAAAGAACTATAATCTAAAAAGAGTCAAATGGAAATTCTAGAACTGAAAAGTATAATACCTAAAATCAAGAACTCAACAGATGAGTTTAACAACAAATTTTAATGGCTTTTTCCTTTTTAAATAGGTTTTAATTGCTGAAGAGAGAAATCAAATGATACACATGGGAGAAATGGGAGACAGTGAAAAGGACTGGCTTCATGTAAACAGAATCCCACAGGAGAGAAGAATGGGCCAAAAGCCATAAGTGAAAAGATAGTAGCCGTGAATATCCCAAAACAAATAAAAGACCTGAAGCCACAGATTCAAGAAGCACTATGATGCCTATGTAATGGAAGCTGGAAGACAATGGTAAGCCATCTTCAAAGTGCTTAAAAAAAAAAAGGATTCTGCTGATTTAGAAATCTGTTTCCAAAGCAAGTGTCTTTTTTTTTTTTTTTAAGATCTCATTTATTTATTTGAGAGAGAGAGAAAGCAGGGGGAGGGGCAGAGGGAGAGAGACAATCTCAAGCAGACTACCCACCGAGCAGGGAGTCCAACACGGGGCTTGATCTCACAACCCTGAGATTATGACCTGAGCTGAAGACAGACACTTAACTGACTGAGCCCCCCAGGCGCCCTCCTTCTTTATTTTTTTAAAGA